GAAATTTTATCCATTGTTACTGACTTGCTGTTGTTATTCTACTTGTTATTATTATCATAAACATTTGCAAATGTTGATTTTCTTTGTAGATAAACGTATATGAGTGATACTCGTGGAAGATTTTAACTTTGGATTCCTCTAGCCGTAAAATGTGAACCACTATAGATTTGGTAAACTTGCCATACCTCTATAAACGACGACCAAGAGCAACACAATCCAAAATAATAAATTTTAATAAACTATAAAGACTTAAGTAATGATATTATATTAGGGGATTAAGTATGGATTAAGTGAGTAAATTAAAGGATTAACGAGGATAATGAAAGACTGGCTAGTAGACATGTGGTGGCGATGCCTACGCACATGGTTGATCATCATGTCCTCCATCTTTCACGTTTTGTTAGTTACTTTATTTAGCTTAATAAAATTTAAATTATTATATTGGGTCAAAATTTTAGCAGAAAAAGTTCTCATTTTGAAGTACAAATTTATAATTTCATATGTATTAGTATATTACTATAAAAGGTTACGAGAGAAAGTTGCAAACATGATCTAATAACATATTTTTGCACCAACCATTTTAAAAATTTGATAATAATACGATCGAAATTCACAAACTTTATAATAAAGCAACACTCTAACGAGTTAAAATAAGACTTTTATAAGATATACTTTTTTTTGGACAAAGCAATACACTAACAAGTTAAAACAAAACTTTCCACACTAATATATATTTTAACAAAAAAGAAAGAACAAGAATAGATGCTTATTGTAAAAACAATATGTTGATAATTAAGTTCTTAAAGTGTATATCATTAACACATTTTGACATGATTATTTTCAAGTTGCAAATTACAAATACCCAAATTAATATGTATCACATAATTTTAAAAGGCGACTTCTCTCTTTTTTATATAGCAAAGGTGGGTTGCTTTTTACACATGGAGAGATAAAAAAAATGAGATACTTTATGATATCACCCGACGCTGCTTAGACATATTTGAATGAAATCCCACATGCAAATTTTGGGACCATTTCTTTTTCTTGGTTTTTTACCCACTCTATCTAATGATCATCATCAGTAACAACTATTATTCACCCTCCTTCATTAAAATACATTATGTGATCAAGTAAAAGCATATAAAATTAACCTTTTTGCAGGCGTACTATAAAATATATTGTAAAAATCCTCTATAAGTAATCTTTTTTTTTGTTAAAGCTCTATAAATAATCATCCTAAGTAAGATCTCGAGGAAAGTATTCCATGTAACAACATTCCAATCCCCGAGGTTCTGCATTGCAATTTTGGTGACTAATCAATCAAAGTTGATTTTGTATTCTTGGCGACTCGTTTACTGTTCTAAATAATGCATATTTTCTGTTTCTATCTAACTATCTTTTTGACATCTTTCACATGAATTACGAAACAAGATAAGTATTTTGCTATACTCCAACAAAAAAACAAGTTTGACTTTATGAATGTTGTTC